AGAGCACTAGCCTTGAGCAAATGAAGGTCATGGATAGTGCCCAGGCCCTGAGTTCAAGCCCCAGGACTGGGAAAAAAAAAAAGAAATACCTAGGGAGTTGAGCTTTGGTTCAAGTGGTAAAGAACAATCCTTGAGCTTATAATAATGTCTGACACAAGTTCAAAATGTAATAAACAGTGCATAAGATGACTAGATGCCCACAGAACAGGATTTTTCATGCAAAACTAAGATTATGAACAGTTCCTTTTTCCCTGTACCAAATGATCTCTGCATATAGAATATTCTTTGGACATATATAACCTACATGTATATATTTACATATTCATATGTACCAGACTTCCACCAAGGTTTATGCTGTTTTATTCCATATATTTCACAATTATGCTTAAGCAGGGCCTCTACTACTTGAGCCAGGCCCCAGTCTCTATACTTACTGTCATCTCCAACAGGACCGGCTGAACATTGTGCTGGGGGATCCCGTGCCAGGTCATTCAATTCCTTAAGAAAAACACAAAGGAAAGAAATTTTCACTTATAAATTTAAAAGTTTATAAATTAAAAGTTTATAATTTTACGCTTAGAAAATTTATACTATTACCAACATTCTCTTGTTCTACTTACTGGTGCAGCTCTTTTAGCATCAATCCTTCAAAGTTAGGAATGGATAATAAATCTTTATTTTGCTCAAGGCTAGTACTTTACCACTTGAGCCACAGCTCCACTTCTGGCTTTTTCTGTGTATGTGGTACTGAGGAATCAAAGCCAGGGCTTCATGCCTGCTAAGCAAGCACATTCTTAGCCCAAGTTCATGTTTCATATAAAGTGAGTAGGGGCTGGTAAGTAGCTCAATGATAGAGCAATTGTTCAGTAATCTTCAAGACTAGAGGGAGAAGCTAATTTCCTTATTTAGAATTAAGTGGATGGGTGTACTAAAGGGCCACAAAGCTATTTATTTCCCTCCAGTGCTAGAGATGGAAATCAGGTTTTCCCACTTGCTAGGCACTCTACTGCTAAGTAGTCCTACCTCTAGTTCTTAAACCTTTTTTTATTTTCTAAATCATATCCCCAAGATGGCTTGTTTGTCTTATTCTTGTGTTCTGTTAATAGGGCTTGAACTCTAGGCCTTGCACTTCTCCTGGCTTTCTGGTTCAACACTGGTGCTCTAGTACTTGAACCATACCTACACTTCCAGCTTTTTGCTGGTTTATTTGAGAAATGAGTCTCGGTGACTTTTCTTTTGGCCTGGTTGGCTTCAAACCACGATCATTAGATCTCAGCTTCCAGAGTAGCTAGGATTAAAGGCATGAGCCATCAGAACACAACACCCAAGACTTTTAAAGTAAAAATTTTACTGGTTACTTTTCTGTATTTTTATTTTGCTCTGCTTTAAGCATGGCAGACTGATTGAATTCAGGGCCTCAACAGTACTAACTGAGCCACTTTTGCTTTTGTTTTAGATAGGATGTCCACTAAGGTCTCAAAACTAGATCCTCCTACCTCCTCCTCCAAGTAGCTGGAATTACAAGTATATAGCACCATACTTGGCTTTTTTTTTTTTTTTTGGAGGGAGGTTGTGGGAGGGAAGGGCTTAATTAACACAGTCACACTGGCCTGGCCTTAAACTAACAACCCTCGCGTGTCAGCCACCTGAACATTATGATTTTATGAATATTCAGTGCCAGGGTTGGGGGAATGACTCAAGTGGGAGAGCTCATACCTAGCCAACACAAGGCTCTAGGTTCAAAATTCTACTAACACACATTTTCACACACATACACACCACTCATTTTAAAAAGTTTCAGTGTCCTTCAATGAGAAAGAATGTCCCAGGATGACCCAGGGAGGGAGGTGGGCTAATGAAGTAGAAGAATATTGTTGGTTGAAGAAATCTGTTTGACTACATGAAAATGAAATTGTTTGGGGAAGGTGGGAATGGTATGATAAGGGAGAACTGATAGACTGATATAATTGAAACACTGTGGAAATGTTACAATGGAATTTCTCTTGTAACTTAATCCGTGATTAAAAAGATTCAGTGTCTATTTTTGTATGGCAAATCTATTAGGTTCTATACTCAAAGCAAGATAATAGTTGGACAATGGCTCATGCCTGGATCTTAGCTACTCAAAGAAGCTGAGATCTGAGAATTGTGGTTCAAAGCCAGCATGGGCAGGAAAGTGAAATTCAACTAGCCACCAAAGATGCTGGAAGTGGAGCTGTGGTAGAGCACTAGAGTTAAGCACAAAAACTCAGGGACAGCACGCCTGAGTTCAAGCCCTACTACTGGAACAAAGAAGAAAAAAAAGCTAGAAAATCACAAATGTTCCAAAAACAATACTGGGCCATCTGTCACACTATGTTTCCAGCTGATGACCACTACTAGGGATTTAGAAGTGGTAGATAGAACTTCTGAAAAGATAACTAAAGGGCTAAGTAATAAAACATACCTTACAGCTTTAGTCAGACTGATGTACTGGTAGTAATGCTCCACAATCAGGTGTCAGCTTAATAACCTAACTCAACATAAAAAGTTTTCCTAGCAAGCATGAGGTCCCAAGTTCAAACCCAGTATAACAAAAAAGTAAAAACTAAAAAAGGGCCACAAACTTGAAACCTGGTTATAGGAGGGGTTGACTACAAAATCCTAAAACAGGAAACTGTACAATTTTCCCTTGTCCCTTGGGCTTGATTTTGCTTTTACTTTTGTTGTAAGTTTCAGCAATGAATATTTTAGTATAACATGGTTATTGTAGGGAAACGTAGGAAAAAGAGAAACAAAAACAGAAGAAGAGAAAGTGAAAGACTACCACTTTGTTCTGTTTAGCAGCACTAGTGATGAGAGCAGAGTACAAGCTAGATAACGGGGGGCTGGGAAGGTGGCTCAGTGGTAGAGAGCTTGCCTTGCATGCATGAAGCTCTGGGTTCGATTCCTCAGCACCACATAAGCAAAAAGAAAAAAAGCCGGAAGTGACGCTTAAGTGGTAGAGCATTAGCCTTGAGCTGAAGGACAGTGCCCAGGCCCAGAGTTCAGGCCCCACGACCGGACCCAAAAATAAAAAAATAAAAGCTAGATAACTGTTTTGTCATTGGCCATATCCTCAGCTCATAAATTTTCAAAAGTATGAGCCAGTAGAAAGACAATATAACAAACAAATGCTTTTTTTAAAAATTCAGACAAAACTCAAGCTCCAAGGGTGGATTTGTATATTTTAGAAGTACAGCAATAATTGGGGAGGGAGGGAGGTTCAGCCTTGAACACAGGGCCTGGGGACTGTCCCTGAGCTTCTTTTGCTCAAGGCTAGCACTCTACCATGTAAACTACAGCTCCACTTCTGGCTTTTATTTGGTGGTTAATTGGAGATGAGTCTACATGGACTTTTCCTGCCCAGCCAGGCAGGCTTTGAACCACAATCCTGATTATCTCAGCCTCTGGAGTAGCTAGGATTACAGGGATGAGCCACCAGTGCCCAATTTAGAATCTCAAGTTTTGTATTTTGTGTCTCCCTGGCCCTATCATACCCATTTATAAATGTGTGGATGTTGAATAGAGATGTCAGGTCTCATTTTAAAATGTCTGTAGCATTGGTCAGTATAACTAAGTACTCCTGCTCAATTTTAGATACTGCTAGCAATGTCTTAATACCACCAGACTGCTATCAAACTATAATCTGAATCTAACAAACTATTCTGAAAATACTTCAGTGTTCACTAAATGTTATTTTACTTCTTATTTCAAATTGAGATACCTTTTCCATGCCAGATGACATCAATGTTTGTCTCTCTCTAGTCCTAAGACTACTTTTTTTTTTTGTCCAGTCGTGGGGCCTGAACTCTGGGCCTGGGAGCTGTCCCTCAGCTCTTCAGCTCAAGGTTAGCACTCTACCACTTGAGCCACAGGGCCACTTCCCGCTTTTTTTTTTTCTGCTTATGTGGTGCTGAGGAATGGAACCCAGGGCCTCATGCATGCAAGGCAAGTACTCTAGACTGAGCCACCTTCCCAGCCTGATCCTAAGACTTCTAAGATAAACATAAGACCATCAATCCACTTCATAAGCCAGAATGCTATAATTAATTTTTAAAAATGCTACCCAAACGCAGGCTAATACACATTAATACACTCATTTAACACTTAACTTGGTTCAAGGGAGACATGGAGTCATTTTAAAAAGCAAAATGGCAAGTCATACTAGCTGGGTGCTGGTAGCTCACGCCTATAATCCTAGCTACATAAAAAGCTGAGATCCCAGTACTGCAATTTGTGGCCAGCCCAAACATGAAAGTCCATGAGATTTTTTTTTTTTTTTTGCTTTTTCTGGGGGGGTCCGGTTGTGGGGCCTGAACTCTGGGCCTGGGTGCTGTCCCTCAGCTCTTCAGCTCAAGGCAAGCGCTCTACAGCTTGAGCCACAGCACCACTTCCGGTTTTCTAGTGGTTTATTGGAGAAAAGAATCTCATGGACTTTCCTGCCAGGGCTGGCTTTGAACTGTGATCCTCAGATCTCAGCCTGTTGAGTAGCTAGGATGACAGGCATGAGCCAGGTGTGAGACTCTTATCTCCAATAAACCTTTAGCAAACCAGAAGTGGCACTGTGCTCCAGCACTAGAGTGCTTGCCTTGAGCTGAAAAGTGTCAAAGAAGCTCAGAGTTCAAACCCCATGTCTGACAAAAAAACAAAAAGACAAAAAACAAAACCCAGAACTACCTAAAATACTCTCTTCAACTAACAAAACAAACTGGAGGCATAGTTCAAGTGGTAGGGTATCACCTGTGATTTAAACAGTTAAGAGCATATCAAGAAAAACAAAACAAAAACAGAAAAAAGTTGAGCAAAAAGCCCTAAATTCAAGTTGTAAAACTGCTGAAAAACAAAATAACAAAACCTAGGTCCTGGCACATAAGTATTGGTATCACAAGGATATTCTACCAGAAATGCAATTTTTCAGGCTATATCC